CAGTCGGTCCAGGGCGGCATGGAGCTCCGGGTAGGCGGGGGAGACCCCTCCAGAGGAATAACCTGCTGGAGCCCCGGCCAGGGGCGGGCCAAACAGGCACGGCCCGACGGGCAGAGGACTACCGTGGCGCTGGTCGTAGCCCATGCTGATGCCGCTGGTGCGATTGCTGCAGGGCCGGCTACCTCCGGCTCCGCCAGCCCCCGCCCCGTCCAGCAGCAGGCTGCCCCGGGGACTGGACGGCTTGCTCGCATCGCTGGCCGAGCTACTGGCGAAGCTGGAGCGGGGGCTCAGGGCCGGCGCCGTAGTCTCCAGGCGAAAGTCGGGGGGCAATGACTGAGGTAGAGGCAAGGCCCGGGTCGGGGGCGGCCCCCCGGGAAAGGCACCTTCGTAGCGCTGCGCCTCAAAGGAGCTGCGCGGGTTCCGATCAGCGTCCAGGGGGCCTTGCTCTCGAGTCGGCTCCAACGGCTCATCCCCGTGTCCCCCAGAAGCTCCTCGGGGCCCGGATTTCCTAGGTCCTCCCAACCCACTCTGTCGCCCCTTGCTCGGCCCAGGGGTCCCATCGGACCCAGACCGGCTAGATTCACCCTTTCTGCGGCCGAACTTAGCGCTGCCGGAGTCCGAGAGTCTTAACTTCTCCAGCAGACGACTGGCTTTCTCCCCTAACCGCTCCATGCCCTCGGGTCTGGGGCCTGCAGCCCCTTCCCTGCCCGGCACCCTGCAGCGTTTCGGTGGCCGCTTCTCTTCCCCTGTGGCCGGACTCTAGTTCCCCAGGGACGCAGGGCGGGCACAGGGGCTTAGCGGGCAGCCAGGATGCCCGGCGCCAGGAATCCTGCAGCATCCCCCAGCGAGAGGGGCTGCGTCCTCCCGCGCATCAGGGGTTTAGCGGGGCTGGAAAGGCCTACGGCCGCAGCTGTCCTGTCCGCCGGTCTATCTGTTCATGCGTCGACTAGCCCTGCTGCCCCACGGTCCCGGCCTCCACGCCCGCCCCCCTCACTCTCACACACCGCACAGACTAAGACTTCTCTCCCAAACTTTTGTCTGCCTGGCCGGATCTACTTTCCGGGAAGGGCGGAGCGCCGCGTTTGCGAGCAGGAGAGAGGGGGGGTGTCTGCGCAGGGATCTCTGGTACGCCGAATGGGGGGGGTTTGGCGCTGTTGTGTCTTGGAGGTGGACATCTGCCGACTGAAGGCGAAAGAAGGCAAGGGGCAGTTTGGGAAGCTGCTACTATATCCCTCACGAACTGGAACGAGAAAGTGTGTGTGTGTCGAGGAAGGGGACTCTTTGTAGTTGGAATGCGCGGAGGGACACGATGGAATGTCGCGTTCTCAGACGGAGCGACAGCAGGCATGTTCTGCGCACATACCGTGACTTTGTTCCTAGTGTGAAAACTGTGGGAGAGATGGAGAGAGACTGATACAGAGTGCTGAGACATGGAGAGAGACATAAGAAGGAAGACAGGGAGAAAAAAAAAGTAGATTTATAAAGAGGTTCAGAGGCGTGGACGTGAAGACAGTCGTGAAAAGCGAGGAAGCCCCTGATAGGTGATGGAAGACAGGTAGCGAGCGAAAAAAGGGAGAGAGGAAGCAAACGAGAGCGTGGGCGGTGCAGCTGTCCAAGAATGGATAAAGAAAAAAGACAAACTTGTGTAAAACAGAATGAGAGACAAGTAGATAGTCTGCAATAAAGAACCACTTTCTGGACTCAAAGCTCCCATGACGGTGCTGAGAGCGCGTGCAAGTTAGTGTTTCTAAAGAAAAAGGAGTGAGGAAAAGGTTTGGTACCCTTACCTCTCTGGCTAGGATAGTGATGGATAGACCCTCGCTGGTGTTAGGAAATGAGATTTTTAGCAAATATTTCAGATGACTACATGGATAGGCTGGGAAGGAAGATGGGGCAATCTGCTTCCGTAGCGATACTGCCTTGGAAACCCAAGGAGGGGTCGCTCTGAGTTGGTCCGACTCCACCGCAGTGAGTGAGTGACTGACTACATGGATAGGCCGCCTGGTTTTAGAGCTTGATTGGGCCACAAGAGATTGGTTATAAAGAGCAACTACCAACTTAAAAGGAACAAAGGAAGTGCCAGTTAGAGTAGATAGCAAGTGAGAATGATCAGGGTGGAAAAGGAAGAGGCTAGTATTTGCCCTACTGGAAAGATCAAGAATAACCGTGGCTAAGGCTGAACCTACCTAATTAAATATCAATCAACTTATTTTGCCCAAACTAGCACATCAGAGGTAAGAGGTGGAGAAGGTAGAATGCGAAGGAAAATGACTCTTTTGTATTTTGTTGGTAAGTGAATATGAAAATGATATGCAAGCAAATGATGCATATTATTTTCATGCCACCATTAGACACCCTTTATAATCTTAGTGTAGCCTTGGGGAATGGGGAAGGAAAGGAGGCCGATACCCTTTGGGAAATTAATTTGGCACAAACTATTTGGTTTCTTTGTCCCAGCTGCTTTGTCTCCCTGACCCCATCTCTCCTGAGAAGCAGCCTCTGTATTTCCCCTGGTCAAGCCGTCAGCTTTTCTCTGATCCTGAGGAGAGTTTACTATTAGACTGGAAGCAGGGAGGACTGAGAGGGTGAAGGGCTAACAGGTTGGCTCCAGAAAGTACAGTGAGCAGTGTCTTCAGAATTAACCCTAAGGCTGCTGCTCCTTTCCTGTCTCCAAGTGTTTGAGGAAGTGACAGAAGGGGTAGGACCTGAATTCTTCCTCCCAATTACTTACATCCAAAATATCTGTACAGCCTCAAATATTTGGAAGCTTTGATCTTTTGGGGGAAGGATGGAAGAGTAAATCCTATGAAAAGTTGAGAAGCCATTAAAGGAGGCCCATCCAGGAGTTGGTGGTGTTAGCAATGGGCACAGCTGAGTTCAGCAGTTTGTGTTTTCAGGGAGTAATAGAAAGCAGGGACAAGTGAAGGGGAAGAAGGGTGCAAGATAACTAGTACTGCAGTACAGCTCACAACCTAGGGCCAGCTGTTTGCATTCTGAACTGACCTGGAAGCCCCACAGACCCTCTTCTCCATCTCCAGGGCTTCAGTTACCATCTTTATACAGGTAACTTCCAAATCTCTATGTCCACCCCAGAATTTTGGACTTAAAAACTCACCTGACTACTAGCATCTCCACTTGGTTGTCTCAAAAGCATCCTATGCCTTAAAATGACTTCATCTTCCTTGCCTCCTTGAAACTAGCTCCTCCAGCATTCCCTGAGTAAATGGCACCATTAACCACTTAGCTCCATAAGTGGAATTCTGAGCATCAACCTGTGTCCTCCCTCTCCCTTAATGGTCAAATCCAAGCAATCACCAAGACAACTTTGCTTTCCAAATATATTTCAGGACCTCTGGTAGCGTAGTGCCTGAGGCACTTGACTGCTAACCAGAAGGCTGGTGGGTTTGAACCACTCCTCGGAAGGAAGGTTGGGCAATCTATTTCTATAGTGATACTGCCTTGGAAACCCAAGGAGGGGTTGCTACGAGTCAGGGCTGACTCGAGGGCACATAACAACAACAAATATATTTCAAACCTATCCTTTCCTCATCACCACTACATATGTCAGTCCACCATCTTTTCTCTCCTGAACCACTGCAAAAGTTTCCCTGCTGAGTCTTGCTCCTGCCAATCCACTCTAAAACCCTGAGGTCAAGTGATTCTTCTGAAAGACAAAACTCATCATCTCATTTCCCTGCTTAAAACCTTCCAGTGATTTCTTACTGCCCTTCAGCTAAAGCCTATACTCTTTAATATGGTTTACAAGGTCTCCCTACATCATCCCCTTCTCAAACTCTTCTGCAGTGCTGGACTTTTTCTCTGCTCTCTCCTGCCTCTGGGCTATGCATTTGCTATTCGTTATGTCTGGAACCTCCCCTTGACCTCCCTTTCCCTTCTGGTCAACTCATCCCCATCTTTCAGGCAGCAATTTAAACATCACTCCCTCTAAGAAGCCTTTCCTGACCCCAAGAGTAGGTTAAACAGCTCTGTTACATGCTTCCATTGCACCCTGCACACCCCTATCATTACCCTTATCACAATTCATTTCACTGCATACGTAATGCCCAACTTCCTGACTAGACAATAAAATACATGATCGACATCTGATCAACATTGCATCAATAGCACCTAGCACAGTGCTTCACCCATAGTTAGCAATCGGTATTTGTTGAATGAATGCATATAAAGAAATTTTTACTTCTTAGTCCATTAAAGATGAATAAATTCTGTGCTTCTCTCCCATACACACACACACACACACACACACTCCCACTCCTAAACAGTTTGGCTTGACAGGAGTAAGAAATAGCTACAAAGCTGTGTATACTGCTTAATCACACAGTGGGAGAGCAGCTGCTGGTGGGACATGAAAACTAAGCCTCAATTTCCTCATCTATAAGATGAGAATAATAAGATCTGCCTTATATACTTCAACAGACAGTAACTATTATATCTAGATCCCGATTCCCAAATAGGAATGGACCCCATGTTCTGCTCAAAAGAATCCAGCCCATGACTGAAACAGCCCACCAGAGGGCAGTATTACCCCGGGCTGGGCCTGTTCTTCCACTGCAGAGCAAGACCAACAGTCATCGGGAAACAAGGTACACAAGACTGCTTCCCCAAACCTGAGAGTGGAACCAGAAAATAAACTCAGAGACCCAGGGCATATGTCAAGAAGCCCTCATGTTTCTCATGTTTCTTAGACCCATCCTCCTCCTTTCTTCATTCCAGGTTGCTCCCAGGTACTGTTTACGCTTAGGAATAAGCATCTTTTGGCTTGCCGTTCACAGTAGGGGGCTTCCCCTCTTTCTGTATTAAACCCTTCTATCCTGCCAGAGCTGCCAGCTTCCACTTCTGACAGGGACTGTGTTAAGAAAAGAGGTAAATTTACTTTCTCAGACTGCAGAGGGCATTTTGTTATTCTAGGAAGTCCCTTGGCCACTCATTTCTAGGACATGGGTAGTGGCAGAAGTCAAAGTAATTCTTGTATTCAGATTTCATTCATCCTTCTCCACCTTGATTTCAATGAATGAGTTCAAGTCAGGGCAGAAGGTTTTGTGGGGTTGGTCAAAAGATGGGGAGACAGGTCCATTCTCATCACCTCCCTCATCTTCTTGGAAGTTGGGATTGTAAAGTTCTGGTGGAAGGAGCTGTACCTCAGCAGAAGGTAATCTGTCTGAGGGAGGGCCATATACACGATTGGCTTTGGTGCCATGCTTAGAATTAGCATCCAGGTGATAGCAGAGCTCTGTGAGGCGCTGGGCCCGGAAACGAGGAGGGCGGGCCACCCAGACACCTGGCTCATTAAGGCTGTCCTCTTCATCTGACATCAGCTCTTCTGTCACATCCTTCCACAGGTGTTGGTCCTCAGGTCCAAAATGCCTCATGATGCTGGATCGGTTGGCAAAAAGCTATAGTAGGAGGCCAGGACAGAGATTAGTAGAAGAGTATGGCTTAGATTTGGGGAAGCGTTTCAATGGGGAGGAAAGCTGTGTAAAATCTGTGCTTGATGGCACCCAGTCCCCAAGTCAAATCTTAGAACTGGCTCACCCTCCTTTTCCTCCATTTGCCTATAATTCTAGCTCTCAATCCTATTCTCAAATGCTATGTCCTCTGGCCCTTTCCACTGTAGCTTATTAGGGTTTAGAGTTTAACATCTTGAAAGAAGGTCTAGAAACGTACCCGATATCGGCGACTTCGAAGTTTCTTGTCCTCTTTTTCCTTCAGGCCTTTAAAGGGGTTCAGGGAGTTGCGGTACTCACGCCTTTTAGTAAGGAAATAGGCCACACAGGCTCCTGGGTAGGCAGAGAAGAGAAGGAGGAGGAAAGGAGCAATAAGCAAGGTCCTTAGAGCAGTGGTCCTCAGCCTTTTTTCCTGCCTTTACACTACTGAATGGGAGATTGAGTCACTAGAAGATGGGCTTTCTTGGCATTCCCAATGGCATCTATTCTCCCCTCTGGTTCAGCTCTCTTTCCCACCTATATCTCCAATTCTAACTCTTCCCTTATCTCCCACGGAAATAGACAACTCCAACTACTTCTGTTCCCGTCTGCCCCCCACCACCACCAATTAAACCTACTCCCACTGCAACTCTGCTGATAGCCTATTATGGGTACTTTTTCAGCAGAAGCTTTCCAGTTCATGTTTCCTAAAGAAGCTATAGACACATACCAGAAGACAGCAAGGAAAGTAGAAAACCTAAAACACAAAAACTGCAACCACTGCCATGGAGTCAGATCTGACTCATGGCAACCCCTCCTTGGGTTTTGAGGCGATATCACTACAGAAGTAGATTGCCCAACCTTTGTTCTGAGGAGTGGCTGATGAGTTTGAACCGCCAGCCTTCTGGTTAGTGGTCAAATGCCTTAGGCACTATGTCAACAGAGCTCCTAGTAGAAAATCTAGAACAAAATATTTAGAGACAAAAGGGCAGGTCTGGCTTCTGATTTCCTTTTCCTAACGCTTCAAATTCAGGCTCTGCATAAACATAAATACATGATGGTGTTCTAGCCCTTTCCTCCCATTCTCATTTTAGACTGAGAAAAATAACCAAAAAATCAATAATTTGAAGACTACTGTTTTCAAAACCACCTAAATCATCTCCATTATGCCTTCTTTTCTCTAATCAAGAACATGGTGAAGGGAGGTGGGCAGAAAGGATGGGATGGAAGTTAACTCAGTTTCTTCTTACCTTTTAGCTCCTTATCAGTGTAATTGTGGGGACTGGTCACCAGCTCCTGCTTGAGCTTCTCCAGAAGGAACTTTACTACTGAAATATTCCAGGAGGACTTGATGCTGCCACAAAAAGAAAGTAAGGCAGTCCACTTTTTAAGAGGCAAACAGAGATAGCTGCACTAATCAACTTAGTGTAAATTCTTCCATGGCCCAAGACAGAATGCTAGGGGTACTGGTGGGATCAAAGCCCTACCCTCACTGCTAGATTGGGTCATCTCTCTTTCCTTCCCTCCCCTTAGTAAATAAGGGTCCTTTTGAATTATTTCCCCTCTAGAGGACCATACCTTTCAGACCCATTGAATCTCTTGTCATTGGTGATGTGGTTATGCACATTATGGACCATTTTCTAGGAAAAAATTAAAAAAAAAATTAAATCAGGAGTGGATATTATTAAAAAAAACTCTCCTCGAGTCTGTAGGGTGAAAAAGCATAGTCCCTATGTAGTTCTCTGCCTGATTCCTTCCCACAGTCTGGGTACCATTTCTGTAGATGCCTCATCTGAGCCAGAGAGCCAGAAAGACTTATCAAAATTAGTATTTGTAATGAGGCCCTTCTTCCCCTTTTTCATTTAATTTGTGTCCAGATTCCAGGATCATCCCTGGCCTAACTTCTGCTCTTGCAGAATGGGATCATTAAAACAGAAGTTCTCAGACATTCCCACCGACATACTCCTAACAGCAGGAGAGAACAAGTATACACCATGGCTACTGCAACTAAACATTTTTTGAAACCCCTATTCTTGCAAATTTTTTATTTTTCTTTAAAATATACCTATATTTCTTTTCATATAAAAATGTCTTCCAAAATTGTCTAGCAAAATTGATGATCCAGGAACATGCTCCAGGTTTATCAATGGTTTTATCTATTCCTTTACACATTATTACAAATCCAGGAGTACATATAACATGGTTTGAAAAACATGAACCTAAAATAACAGAAGCATGTTTTGGAAAGGACTGGAGACTCTATCACCCAACCTTCCTTTCACGTTATCAAACAGGCTACCTTTTGCTTATACAACTCACTACTTTTTAAGACAGCTTATTCTACTGTTGAACATCTTTAATAGTTAAATAAATTTTGCTTTAGATGCCTCTAAATATGGCTCCAGTTTTGTCCATGACAGCACCTAAAATGTTCAAAGACAGCCCTAAGTCTTCTCTTATCCAGTCTAAACAAACTCAAGTCCTTCAGCCATTCCTCAAGATAAGAGTTTCCAGATGGACTCCTCATCAAATTATGAAGCTCTCTGGTTTGCCTTTGTCCCTCTTACATAGTGGCACCTGGAACTGAGTATAACTCAGGAGGTGAGATCTGGCCAAAGAGAGCATTACCGTCCTGAGTGGAACACAACACTTCTAGGAATGAAACTCAAGATGGTGTTACCTTTCTTAGTAACCCCATACCCACTTACAATGCCACAGGGTTCATTCATAAAGAGCTTATAGTCAACTCAAGTCCTCAGACATTTTTCCACATGAATTACAGTCTCCACCATTCTACAACTGGTTTGTAAAACTTTAATGCAGGATTGTATGATTCTTCCTATTAGTTTTGTTATTTCTGATTAGATTTTCATCCCAAGCTCTCTCAGTCAATGGAACTTATGTAGCCCCATGTTGATGGGTTTACATCCTGATAATAGGGCGTTAACTCCACATTCAGAAATCCCCAATTTAAGGTTCTGCTTCTATAGCTGACTGAATATGTCAGCTCAGGAAAGTACTGTCACATCTTTATGGCTAGGGTCTCCACCATACTGTCATTATACTTGCTTCATATCTATACAGTTGTTTTATCTCTTAGAAGTCCACACTTAAGGAATCACAAGGGGATGGATGAATGCTTCAGAAAGCATTTGGGAGAGTTGCAAAAAAGGGGAGGGGGACTTGGCATAGCTTCCAACTCAAGTGGCGTAGAAGAGATCAGGTGATAAAAATCAAACCAAGCTTGAAGTGGAAAGAGAAAATACTCTAGACAATAATAAGTGTTAAGGCTCACCTACCTCCTCAATGAGCTAAAAATAAATACATTTTCCCAGAGGTGGCTTAGGTCTGCAGCATTCCAAGGAATTAAGAGTTTTGGTTTGGTCCTTTTGGTTCACAGGATCCCTTGCAACAATCCACAGCCACCGAAGCACACTGGAGAGAGGCTTTTCTGATTCTTCCCCAGAGCTAATGATTGGAATAACAAAGATCTGCAACTATTTTTCCTCTCTCCTTCCCCAAAACCACAGTCTGGCTGTTGAGCCCACAAGAATATTTTAAATCTTCTTCTGTGATGGGCAGCAGAATTCCCTGGCTGGCCCTCTAGATCCTTGTCAAGTACTCTCATAGCAAGCATGATGAGTGAGCATATTGTTCTCCCCAGTAGGTTCCCAGTTTCACTGAGCTCATTAAAGGGCAGAAAAAAGGCAAATCTCACAGTGCTCCACTCTGGAGACAGTAGACAGGGATGGAATGGAAGTGACTGGCTCTGAAAATCTTGACTTCATGCAAATTATAATTATTGCACATTTATTCATGATTTAAACATTATGAAGTATTGGGAAATCCCTTGAAATGTATTTCTAGCCATATGCCTCCATTTCTATTACTGGCAACAAGAATTGAGTGGCTATCTTGGGCCAGAAATCCATGACAGAGAAACAACCCATCTCCTGTTCTTGTTAAGTGAGGAGGTGTTCCTGAATATAACCAAAATGGAAAATGAAAGTCAGAAGCAAATTGATACTGATTATGAATGGTGTCTTCGCGAGGAAAAAAAGAATCCCTCAATGTAAAATTGAGGTCTTAGAGGAAAATCAGACTTACATAACCTCTGGTGGGGTCCTGGGCCCAATGCCATATGCTTCAACTTGAGGGAAATACACGTAGAAAAGATTTCAGAAGACAAAGACAAATCAAAAGAAAGGGAGAGTAAGAATGGGATCTGAGAAAAAGGAAAAGATACTAAGTCTATTAAGCTCATAGAGCATCTGTGGAAAGAGGGAAGAGACTAATATAAATAAAGGATATATAAATGGCAATCAGCGACTTTCAAACTAGACAATAGCAAAAATAAATGGGCTGTATATTATGATGTGACAGGTGACCTCCACTCCCAACTGAGACTTTCAAGTTATTTTACAATAGCCATTATCCAGGGAATGGAAACCCATTACAGTCAATATGGACATTGTATGGCATATGTGTGTGTATGTGTGTGTGAATATTCCCAAGGTTACCAAAAAGATTTTGTTTGGGCACAGAGATGATCCAAAGGACTGTGGTCACCAGTGGCATCACTAGTGTCGGTATCAGCCAGTGTGGTTACTTACCCCATAGACCTTCTCTCATACCAGACCATACACATAATCTTTTTTTATCAATATAAATCATAAAATAATATGTGATAAATATACGTGTAAATTGCTTAGATGTAATATTTCTTACAGTATATTAATATTAACAACACAATTGTTTTGTAAAATCTTTCTACATTCAATTGCAACATTATTAGTTACAATATTATTAGTAAGTAAGTGGAAACCTCTTTTGATTTTTCTCCTTTTCCTTTAATTACTACTTCATTCTCAAAAAAGTTATTGATACAGGTTTACAAATACTACTTATCACAATATTGTGGCTAAAAACACCAGAAAATCTGACAAAATCAATGACTATAAAAACACTGGCAGTAACGAAAACAATAGCCTGTGCTTATATCACATGCAGACAAAACCAGGTGATTCGAAGCACCATTGTAACTGGGTAATGTGACAGCTCTGACAAGAAAGCAATACACCAAACCAAACCAAACCCACTGCCATCGAGTCGATTCCAACTCACAGTGACCCCCACTGGGTTTCTGAGGCAGTAATCTTTATGGAAGTAGTTTGCCCAGTCTTCCTTCTGCAGAGTGGCTATAGTCATTTTGGCATCACCACTTCTGACGGTGTCACCCAGTGCAGTCCACACCACCCACCCCCTACACCCTACTAGTGACGCCACTGGTGGTCACCATAGAAGACAGTTTATCAAGCTCAGCACTACCAACATTTGGACCAGATAATTCTTTGTTGTGGGAGGCTGTCATGTGTATGAGAGGGTGTTGAGCAGCATCCCTGGCCTCTATACCCACTAGATGCTTCTACACACACTAGTAACACCCTCTCTCTCCCCTGTTATAACCATCAGAAATGTCTCTAGATACTTCCAAATGTCCTCTGGGGGAAAAAATCACCGTGGTTGAGAACTACCACCCCTGAAGATCCGTAGGTTTGGATTAGCTGCCGGGCTAGAGGGCTCCCAGCTCAGCAGGATATTCCTAGGGTTCCAAGCCACCCCAAGGGTTCAGGCAGACCAGTTCAGGCCAGCCTCTTCCCTGCCAAGAGCTCTTAGAATTACTAGAATCTCCAAATCTTTGTAACTGAGATGAATGCCTAATGGTCCTCTGTATCTCTGGGGTTTAGGACAACCTGACATTTGGTTTTTCCATCCAAGGGGCTCCTGGCTGCTTGCCCTGTACATTGGTTAAATTTACAGGCAATTTCCAGTCATTGGTCAATCCCTTAAAGATCCTCCTATCAGGATTATTAGGTTACTAGGAGATGTGATATAATTCCCTTCTCTTCTTTAAAAGTAAAATATTAACCTCTCTAGAAAAGCCTAAAAAAAAAAAAAAAAAAAAAAAAAAAACCTCAACTGCTTCACAGGGGGCTTGCCTATCCTATCACTAGGGATATGACATGAATCTGTCTCCTTGCTCGTTCTACTCCATTAGGATTCAAGATAACATTCATTCACTACAGGAGGTTTAAAATCAACCCACCCTTCAATCTTCATTCATCTCTCCAAACTTAAAAAAAAAAAAAAAGGTATAGAAATTGAGCTTACTCACAGAGAGTACTAGATCCCGCTTGCGCCTGGAATTCTTCTGCCCACTCCCTCTGGTTCTGCACTGGGAAGCAGTAAACCCTAGAGAGTGTCTCAGCTCCCCAGTTCCCCCAGGGCCTGACTCTTCCAAGGCACTGTCCAGCGCAGCAGCAGCACTGAGCATATCTTCAGGGCGGGGTGGTGGCAACTTGGTTCCATTCTCTGGCCCCGTCTCTGAGGTTGCCCGCTGGATAGCCAGTTGCGTGGCTGGTGAGAGCTGCTTGGCATAAGCAGGGACCAGCACCCGCTGTACTGCACCTTCAGAGGTCATGTAATCATCCACCAGCTAAGAACATAAAAGAGAATAGCCTATTAGCCAGCTCACTTAGAACAGTAAACAGAGAGTGGAAACGTGGGGAGAACCTAGCACAGTCTTTAATGGTCAATGGCTTGTTTCTCTGGAACTCCCATGGGAGTCCTGGGTAGTATCTCTTGGGTGTACAGGGCCTCTCAAATTGGGTCATTACCATAGGACTGATTACAAGGGCAAAGCATGTTTCTGATGCTCTATGAGTAGTAATTTATAGTTTGCCTTGGATGTAAGAAATGCAGCTAGGAAAATCTTTTGTCTAAAATGGATTGGGAGAGAAGTGATAACAAGAAAGGGAAACTAAGCAAGAGAAGGAACAAGAAAAAAATGACAGCAACAATATGAAAAACGAAACCCACTGCCACTGAGTCGATTCCTACTCATAGCGACCCCACTGGGTTTCCAAGGTGATAAATCTTCACTGAAGTAGATTGTCCAGTCTTGTTTCTGCGGAGTAGCTGGTGGGTTTGAACCACCAACCTTTTGGTTAGCAGTCAGATGCCTTAGGCACTGTGCTACCAGAGCTCCTTAGCAATAATACAGAGGAGAAATAAGAGAAAAATGTGAGTGAAGGAGAGAGAGAAAAAGTCAGAAATCTCTAGGGAGGCTGGCACTGACTGCTGCACTCACCTACTCTACATCCCCTTTGTGGGGCCAGTCTTCCGTCCTCACCTTGATGCTGCACTGGCAGCATCTGACAGTCACTGCCCTGACATCGACTTGATTGTCTGCACCCTCACTCAAGGACACACAGGACAGGGAAAGGAAGAAGGGAGGAAGGGGGAGAGAGAAGAAAGGAGGGAGGACTTCTGCAGCCAAGAAAACAAAACAGTGAAAGTGGGGATGAAAAAAAAAAAAAAAAAAAAACACAGAAAGAAGCAGGGGAGGAGCTGAGATTTATAGACCTGTGAGGTGCTTTCTGCTCTGTGGAATCTAATTCCATCCTGTCAGCTTGGAAGACTTCCCTGCCTGAAAGAAACCGAACGTAGCTTGGCCTGGACCCCTCCTGCCTCCCATCTTCCCACTTCCTCCTCCCTCAGTCCTCAACCACTGATGGTCCTAAAAAGGCACAGACAGGGTGAGCAGCAGTGACCATTAGCCACATGGCTATGCCTTTTGGGCGAACAGTGGCCAGTTGCTGTGTTACACTAGAGGGGCAAGGGGAATTTATATACTCATTTCTCAGATCCAGCAGATGGGCTGGGAGTCTCATCCCTTCTATCTACCCCGTGTTCTGTTCCTTTACTCTTTACTCTTCACTGGGTGTCTGAGCTTTGTCGGGGGGGGGGGGAGGAAAAGAGGGAGGGCCGACACAGGGAACAAGGTGGAGAAGAGTTGACAGACCTCCCACTGTCTCTCAAGGGGCAACACATCTGTTATTTTCCCATCTCTATAATCTCTATAGTTGCTCCATCTCCTTTCCGTACTTTCATGTGTGACATTCTGCAGTTTTTACTCTGCCCAGCCAGATTTCCCTGCTCATATGGCCCTGAGCAGTAAAGAAACTGAAACAGAACAATGTACTTCTGTCTTTTCCTGCTCACGAATGTGCTCACTTGCTTCTTTCCCTTCACTCTTTGTCCCTGCCTGTTATTCCTTTTACTATCAATTCTCAGTTTTCCATTTCTCTTCCTCATTTGATTTCCTTCCTTTTGGCTCTCCTGCCATCCTCCCCGCAGTCTCCCTTCCCACACAGATTTACTTTTCCTCTAAGCTCCATACTCCACTTTTCCTCCTCCCTCAACCCTCCATTCCCACCTGCCTCTTTCCCTCCCAGCATCTACCTCCTACTATCTTTGACCTCTCTCTCACTTTGTCCTTCTCTCTCTCCACCTGTGCCTCCCTCTCCCACCTCTCTCTGTACTGAACTCCTCTTGGCAAGCTGAGGGCCGTGATAAAATATGAATGAGCCGTCTGTGCACGGCAGGCATTCTCACCAGGAGAGGCAGAGCCCACGGAGCAGCCAAGACAGCTGTGGATAAGAAGGTGCCATGTGGGGCTACTGAGAGGGAGAGAAGGGCACCTCATTTCCACACACACCAAAAATGACCTCCTGCCAAAGAACCTTATGACCTAGGAAGAAAATAGGAGTGCTGACTGTCCCTAAAAGCCAAGGAAATGTACTACTATTGTTCTATCATAAATCCAACAATAGAAAGGTTTGAAGATGGGAAGAAAATCAGAGAAAGAAAAAGAGACAGAAGCACTAAGGAACAGCAGCTCTCATGGCTCTTCTCTGCTGCCATACTCACAGGATTGAGCAGGGAGCCTCCCTCACTGGCCAGGGCACCTCTCTGAGTGGCTGGGAAACCCAAAGGCCCAGGCCCCACAGCTGAGGCTGCTCCCAGCTGCCGCAGCTCCTCGATCACCACCTGCACGCCACTGCCCACGCTGTCACATTCCTCTTCCATGGTAGACGGAGCCTTGCAGGCTTCCCCAGGGCTCTCTTTGAGAGGCCCAGGCTCTTCAGGTGGGGAACTCTGTGCACCACCTTCTCCATCCTCATGAGGGGTAGACACTTTCCCTTGCTTTAGCTCACCCACTTCCTCCTGTAGACGCTTTAACAATTCATTGTTGGCCCTGGCAAGACCCAGAGCAGTCTCAGCCAATCCCACTGCCTTCTCCACCCGCTGGTAGATGATATGTAGGAGCTGGTCTGAACTCTGAACCGCCAGGCCATGTCCTGTCACGGTGATAGGGGTGCTGGAAGGAGGATTCCCGCCCTGCGGGCCCGTGCTGCCCCCACTAGTCTCATTCTTACAGGCACAGCAGCAGCATGTGGCCTCACTGCCACTGGGTGGGGAGAAGAGAATGGTGGCACTGAAGGACATGGCTGCCTGAAGCAATGATAACCCTGCTCACACAGCTGGACCTTTCCAAAGAGTCCTGAATCAAACCAGACTTCACAAGTTTGGTAGAAAGCACTGGTTTCTTTGGGTTTACTTTCTTTTCTCATTGAGAGCACTCAGAGGAGCCTGGACACCAGGTGGTGGATCTGTGAAGGAGGAGTATGCACGCAGGGAAGGAATATACAGTCCATGGCGCCACGCCGTAGCCTGCAGAGGAGAGATGCTTTCTTCTATTTGTAGATCTGCTCCCCAGCACAGTACACAGGTGTCACGCTCACCCCGTAAGGGGGATGCCTAAAGGGCTTTCCTGAGGAACACAATTTCAGAGGGTATAAGGCATTCTTGTACCCAAGCATGGAAGCCCTCCCCTTTCCTCCCACCATCCCAACATAGGAACAGAGAGGGGACTTGAAAGGACCCACCAGCATCTGGAGAGATTAGAAGATTAAGGAAGAAAATGTAGATCTGTCATCTTCTCCCTATCTTACCATAATAACAATAGCATTTTATTGCTTTGACATTATTCCTGAAGGAGTTCAGAATGCTTCACGTAGGTTATCTCATCTACACAAAAGCTCTAGGAAACACGTATTACTCTAGGTGCAGGGAAGAGACACGCAGAGAAGTTATATGTCTTTTTCAAGGTCAGAGGCAGATAGCAGAATCCAGTTATTGCTACTTTCAGTCTAGTGCTTTTTTTTTTTTCCTGAACAGCTACCACTTTTTGTTGACACGAGGAATCACGATTCTACCCTCTATAATTTTCATACAGATGCAGTCAGAGGAAGACTCTGAAAACACCAATCACTATGTCCCTCAACATGTCACCAACTATTACATCATTGATTCTTTGAGGGTGGGAGCAGGAAAATGACATGAAGGCTGGATGGGGGAAGTGAGCTGGGGTGACCCAGGGCTACACCTGTGCCTCAGCCCCTGTGAAGGAACCTTGCTGCCCTGAGTTCCCCAGCTAGCAGGCAGAGAAATCACCTCTGGGCCCCTCATTCCACTTCTCATGCTCAACAGGAATGTCTACATATCTAAGTGCTGCTGCTTGCCCACCTGACCAGTCCCCCAAAAAGGAGAACCCAGAATATCAATAATAAATGAAATTGCCTCTCTTCTCAATTAGTATGGTTCAGCCACTAAACTACTCAGGAAAAATAAGGTAGAAAGGGGCAGGGGCTGGTTTGTACTATTGAGAACACTACAAGGAACTTAATAAACATTGTCACTTTCTAAATGATACTTGATTATGGGGGGGGGGGCACTTCTACCTGAAGCTTCACAAGCGACAAAACCTTAAGTGTGTTTTACAGTTTCCGAGAGAGAGAGAGAGAGAGAGAGAGATACAGTTCTGTCGTACTCTATAAATTATAACATCACAATTAAAAGGAGAGCAGATTAAGAGAATTTCTATATATTGAGGTGGTTTTTTTTAAATCAGCAATCTCATTTCAGAAACAGGCAATATCAGTGCCTCTGAGGTACTGAAATGTAAATCTGACAAAGCATTTTAATTACATTTGGTTATTAAAGAATAGTCTTTAATTTGCTCTTTCCACCCTTTATATCAAAGAAACAGCGTTTCTGTGCCAAATACTCACTTCTTGCAAGAACTTAACTCAAATCCATTTATAGCTTCCCTGTCATTAGAGTCACTGGAAGGCATAGCTAAACCTAAAACTAAAGGTTAAAGCCAAATTAAAACTAAAGGTTAGAGGAAAGCACTAAGCGTTTCTATGTCAATTTATGGATGAATTATTTATATATCTTCTTCCTTCCTAAAAAAGGACCTACACTACTCCTTCAGATTTTTTTCTCTTTTTTTTTTTTTTTTAACCAACATCATGCAAGAAGTTTAATCTTAAACTTTATGCTGTGAGGGACAAAAAAAAAATTATGGTTTGGGGATAATGGACTAGAGTATACAAATACTTGCCAATGGGTCCAAACCCAATAAACCAAACCCACTGCCATGGAGTTGATTTCGACCAACACTGACCCTTTTTAGGACAGAGTAGAACTGCCCCATAGGGCTTCCAAGGCTTTATATCTTTATATAAGCAGACTGCCTCACTGTTCTCCTATGGAGCGGTTGGTGGGTTCAAACCACCAGTCTTTTGGTTGTTGTTGTAATGTGCCATCGAGTCGGACCCGACTCATAGCGACCCCTCCTTGGGTTTCCAAGGCAGTATCACTACGGAAGTAGATTGCCCCATCTTCCTTCCAAGGAGTGGCTGGTGGGTTTGAACCGCCAGTCTTCTGGTTAGCAGTCAAGTACCTTAGGCATTATGCTACCAGAGCATCAGGCTGGGACACTGAGTGGGTTGTTTAACCCATTTCTAGTAACAAACTGATAACGGCCAGAATGCTCCTTAGAAGCGAGGATGGCGAGACCTGGTCTCACTTACTTTGAACACATCATAAGAGACCAATTGCCGAAAAATTGCTATTGTTCTTGGTAGAGCTCAGAGAAAGAGAGGGAGACCTTCAATAAGATGGACTGACATAGTGGCTACAACAATGGGCTCAGGAATACCAAGGATTGTGAGGCTGGCGCAGGACTGGGCAGTGTTTCATTCTGTTGTACATAGGGTCTCGATGAGTTGGAGTCAACTTGATGGCACCTAACAACAACAACGATGTAATGTGGCAGATACGTAATGATACCTCATGCTGTGATATGATGTGATAAACCTATCAGATATAAGACAATTAAGGGTGGGATGCAACACTCTTTGACCCAACATCGCCATGATCGTGTAATGGCAGCTTCCCTGGGGTGTGGCCTGAAACATCTTTTATCTTACAAGAGACAAAAGGGGAGAGAAGAAAGCAGAGTGTGTGTGGGGGGACCTACTACCACCAGGAAAAATCCAGGAGCGCAGCGCATCCTGTGGACCCAGGGTCCCCGCGCTGCGATCCTCCTATGACCAAGAGATACAGAGAGAAAGCCTTCCCCTAGAGCCAGTACTCTGAATTCGGACTTCTAGCCTCCTGAACTGTGAGAGAATAAATTTCTGTTTGTTAGAGCCACCTACTTGTGGTTACAGCAGCACTAGAGAACTAAAGCAATATATAAGGCACCTCCAGAGTGCCAGCACACAGGCAGTGTTCCACAAATTTCATCTGGATAATATTATGATCATTCCTGAAACCTTTTGTGCTTTCACCCTGGACACCCATCCTGATTCCCTGATCTTGAATAAAATGCAACAGCTTGAAACTGCATTTAGGGATGTTTTCCCCCCTCTAAATTTAGTACCAAATTTTTAAGAAATAATAAATTCAAGTCTATAACGATGTATTGCAGCACAAAACCTTCTATGATGCAAATTAGAAAGGTAATTGAGAAAACAGAGTATTTGCAATTTAGTACTTACTATCATGAGGGAGCTCTGGTAGCATAGTGCCTAAGGCACTTGACTGCTAACCGGAAGGCTGGCAGTTCAAACCCACCAGCCACTCCTCAGAAGGCAGGTTGGCCAATCTACTTCCGTAGTGATACTGCCTCAGAAACCTAAGGAGGGGTTGCTATGAGTCGGGTCCAACTTGACGGCACATAACAACAGCAACAATCATGACCTGTCTTGGAAAAAGTACAAACAGAATGCTCCTTAGAAGAAAGTATGGTGCGATTTTGTCTTATGTACTTTGGACATGTTATCAGAAGGGACTAGTCCCTGGAGAACATCATTCTTGGTAAAGTAGAGGGTTAGTGAAAAAGAAAAACACTCAATGAGATGGATTGACACAGTGGTTGCAACAATAGGCTCAAACAGCAACGACTGGGCGGATGGCAAAGACCAGGCAGTGTTTCATTCTGTTCACACAGGGCTACTACAAGTCAGAACTGACTCCATGGCATCTAACTACAACATGACCTGGCTTTAGATTAAAGATAATACTCAACTCTGATAGTTTTTAATGCTATATTTATCTTCCCATGTGAGTTCATTTTGTTCCTGAATTTCTTTACTTTTCTCCTGTGTGTATGATCACAGTGTGTCCATTTTAGAATGTCACACTCAGGGCAACAAATATGTATTTTCTTGGATTAATCTGTCTATTAACAATCTGGTATAGTGCAACACAGCATAATGGGCATTCAAGTAACTCTAATTTGGTTTCCATGGACACTACTGCTGAATTTTGCAAGACCAATGACTTATTCATTGGAAAGACATTAGAAATTTTTTTCAACAACATAAACAGTGACTGTCACAGACTGAATTGTGTCCCCCCAGAATATATGTCAACTCCTGTGATGCAGTGAATTACTTAATATACCCCATGGAGTCATAGTCTTTGTGACTCTCACACAATGACTGGGTGGCACTATGCAAATAAAGTAAATGGAACCGGTGATGGTAGGGGTTATATGTTAACTTGGCTAGGCCATGATCGCCAGTACTGTGTAGTTGTTCTCCATTTTGTGATCTATTTTCTATTCTGTGATGTGTTGTAAATTCTAGCCTCTATACCCATGGCTATGGTCCATTTGGGAGTGAGTTGTCCATTATGTTAACAAGGCAGGATTAAGATGCAATGTATCTTGAGTCACCACCTTACTAGAGGGTGTGACTCAAGTCACCACCTTTACCCCAGTCACTACCCTTATCACCCTTATTCAAGTCACTACTCTCCACTCCTTTACCATCTTATTGGACTCATGCCCTTGCTTGAGTCACACCTTTTATCTTATAAAAGGAGAGGGAAGCTAGCAGAAAAGGGGGACCTGCCTACCAGAAGAAAAAGTAGACTGAAAGAGAAAGTGACAGAAGTGGAGCCTGTCCTTTGGACCTGGGGTCCCTTCACTGGGAACATCCTAGACTCAGAAGTCAAGGAGCTACAAGAAGATAAGAGCAAGAGCAAGAGCAGCGTGAGATGGCAGGACCCAGGAGACTAACATGAGATGCTGTGGTGGAGCTAAGAGCTGTTAACACTTTCCCAAGAAGGGTCTGAGCAGGGCCAAGGCA